GTTTAGCCGCCACAATTTTTAGGTGCCTGATCTTAATAGTTCTAGGAAGTTAACAGGAAACTCATGCAAAGCCAATTGCTCGACACATCTAAGCTCATAGCTGGTTTAACAACATCAGGATAGGCCAGTGTATCCTCCCAGAGGACTACAGGCTTCCTTCATTGCAAGCAAGGATTAAACATTAGGCTTGAATCTGTCTGGCATCCCCCCACTGATCTATCGCCCGCACGGTGGGAGCCCTTCGCAGCACGCTCTGGCTGAGCTCCGTGAGGACGCTGTCCTTGGCTTTTCCCGAACGCTGCGTGGTCCCTGCTAGGAGCGTGTCCACAGTGGGACAAGGTGTAACTCCCGGTGAGACCGGGCTGCGCGGAAGATGCACGCACCCCCGGGGCTGCTCAGGAGCTCTCTGCTCCCTGCCCACGCCCGGCTACTCACGCTGCGCTGGGGAAACCTCTGGCTGCAGTAACTCTGGTTTTCGTTGTAATGAGCTTTGCTAAGGAGCCTGGAGCACACAGGCAGATGGAAACATTTTATGGCTTTACTAGACAGCAATTGGGTCTATTACCATAATGACAGCTTTAAAACAGAGTAATTTGTACAAGGCATGTATGGACAGAGTGCTGATAGGGTAAATGCTACGGTGCAGCATCGCTCTCGAAACGCGCACCATCCTTCTCCTGCCGAATTAGGCAGCCCTCATTACAGGAGCAGTGGCAGACATTCATTTACAGAACAGCCCACTCGAGACACAGCTATTATACAAACAAGGGCAGATAACTGAGTTACCCAGAAGCTGCATCCCTGGCAACCTCTATTACTAACCATCACTTCCAAGAATCCTGGCCCTGCTCCCTCCAGCTTCCCTTTCCCACCGGCCACCCACAGCCTCTCCAACGCTTCCCCCACGGGCTCACTTCTGCAGGAAGGGAGAACTAAACGGCTCTGGGGCTGCCCCGAATCCGGAGAGCTGAGCTCTGCTGCAGGCCTGATCCAAACTGGTCCCCGCTGGACCACACCTGCCCTCAGCAGCAGATTAGATAAATTGCTGGTTTTTTTTCCGCTGGCCCCATTAGAAACCCCTCTGGTGGGCACAGGTCTGCTGTCTATTTCTATTTGCTATCTGTTTGTACAGATTTCACCTGGCACCCTGTCACTCCTCTCTCCCTGCCTGGGTTTTCCCTTTTGCTTAAGCAACTCTCCCAGTTACTGGTCAGATCCAGCACCAAGGCTGGAGGGCTTCACCCCCACCTTCTCATCACCGACAGCTGCAATAAACGCACAGCATGTCAGTGACTGGCAAAGACCAAACGCAGGCTTTCAGGTACAGACACATCGCTCTCCCCAGCCGTGCAAGGAACGGCTCAGCAGGAGACACAAATCCGGGAGCCACATTTATATCCCAGGGCGAGGCCTGGCTGAGGGTGTTAAACCCACACCGTGTGCTCCCCCAAATGTGTGCATGCCCTCCGGGGTGCAGCTCTTCGTTTCAGGGTTCCCAGCCCAGCAATACACTTAGTCCCATGGTTCCTGCAGCAAAGTTGACATCTTTGGGCCACAACTCAGCAACCCAAAGCAAATTCTTTCTCAATAGAGACTAACCAGGACCCCTGAAGTTACCCTTTGGAAAAGGCACTGCAGGGCCTGGACACAGCATAGAGGGGCCAGCACTGAAAAAAGCACTGCGTGCTCGGCCACAAAACCTCCGTATTACGCTCCGGACCAAAGAGATGGCCATGCTGAGAAAAAACACTGCTTTTACCTGACGACAGCTTTGCACTGAGCTCACTCCTGTGGGCAGCTTGTGTTTCGCAAGGCAGCAAGCCCTGGACATCGGGGCTGCTTTCACCACTCGCACTGGCGAGATCTGGCTCCGGAGAGCGGTGTGGTTCACGCCTGCCGCGCCATGTCCATTCCAACCGGGAAGCTCGGCTGAGGAACGGGACACCTGGTGCAAACTGCCAGCTCTGTCCCCATCTACACACAAGCTGGGACAAACCATCTCACCAGATTTATCAGTCAAATAACCCTCGTCTTTCTCACCAGCAAGTTGTGACATTTCATCCACGGCTTTCAAACGCCATCACCTCCTTGCATGAAAAGCAGTCGGACAAGATATAAACCCGCTTTCATGTGAATGGCTCATCTACCCTGCTGGCAAGAGCGAAGAGGCACACAGATCTGCTCACCCCATCCCTATCCTACCTCCCACTGCAGGCCTGGCTCTCCCCGGACAGAAAGGGATGTGAAATTTCTTGGCGTGAAGCAGAGGGATTTACTAGGTGCAGACCAGGAAGCTGAGCCCCGTGCTCTGGTTTTAATAAGGTGGCAATAAGCAATGCGTCTTTCTGCCCTCAGAATTCCTCCTCTTCAACTATGAGATTTATTAGAGGAGCCATAAATCATTTCATGTTGCAACTGGCCAAAAAAGCCCGACATTTTTATTGTTTTTGATTAATAGATTTATAATTGGCAGCAGGCATGGCAGCCTCTGCGTTTATTTTTCCCAAGACTTTCTTCCTTTTCCTTGCAGCTGACGCAGCTTGGCCTCCTTTACATGTTACTTTTTCTCCAGATCGCTTATTGTTTTGATTTCAATTGAATTGTGTTCCCTTTGGTCCTAGTCCATGGATACTATCTTTAGGCAGAGTTTAATTTTGGGTTGTTTAGAAAAGGGCACTGCTGAAACACCCTGAAAAGAACACAAACATACATTTTTATTTTCTGCTGTTGGCTGGGGAAACCTCCCCTTTTCCCCAGCCAAATCCATGCCTCTTCACACCCTTCAGAGTTCAACTGCCATCAGCAGCAGACACGGCCTCGCTTCTCCCAGTCCCTTTCAAAATATGCCCTAGAGTCCACCAAGCCATGTAGGACCCAAAACTCATCCACTGCCACATCACCTTGTCACCTCAAAGAGCAAACCTGAGACAACCCCTCTGAGCTCTGCCGGGGGGCACAGCTGGATGTCTTCCTGGAATCGGTGTTCAGGAACTTCCTGCAATTTGTTTCGAATTACTTCCCACATGTGTAGAAAGAGGATTGAACTTTTATTAGTTGTGCGAGCAGAGATCAGATGTTAAGAGAAAACTATCTCCCGCAAAGCTGCGATGTGCATGCTGCTTCGAGCAACAGTTTACAAATGTTAAAACATCACCCTGAAAGTACTGGCCACATCAAGCAGATTAAAAACCTATGAGAAATTACAGTGAAAAGCCCCAAGTAAAGCTTCAAAAGAACCTCCGTTTCTTTTCCAGGCCAAGGGCAGGTGGGACACAAACCCTACCGAAGGAAGCACAGGAGGAGGAGTTGTTTAAGACTTATATTCACTACGTGGCCAGTAACTGGTATGAGTCACACACTCAAAGAGGGCAAGGTGGCGTAAATGAAGCAGGTGTCTGTAAAAATCAATAATAATTTATAAGCCCATAACACCTCAAAATGTTCTACAAATGCTAGCAGAGGACTTTTTGTTCACAACACCGCTCCAGCATCAGAAGAGCAATTTTCCATCTCAGGACTGGGTAAAGTGAGGCAGGCAAGAGGCTGGATCGACATCACCCCAGACTTCCCCGACCAGTCAGCAGAAAGCCCAGAACATGTCTGCACCCTGGTCACAGGAGGAAAGCGGCCAGAGAGCTGCTCTGCGGCTGCTCAGACTTACTCTTTGCACTGAAGCGTGTCTCAGAAAACTTAACATTTTTGCAACAAGTGCCTCACTGGAGAAATCCGAGCGGGCATGTGCTCAAGCCCAGACCTGACAGGAGGCTCAAAGGACCAGTCAGGGAGCACATGGCTCCCTTCCTTCTGCTTCAGCTTGTCCCTGCTGCTGGCACCACACTGGCATCGCGTGCTCCCATCACACTTCGCAGTAAGAACAGCTAATATAAAGGAACAGAGGAGACCTTGCTGGTGTTTCACATCAGTAGGAAATTGCCAGAAGGAGGAAAAGACTGTCCATAAGGGACACGTGGCTCCTACGTTGGCCTTCCCTGACGTCTCGGGCGGGGTGATTCACACACCTCAAGATCAATCTGTGGCACTCACTTCCACAAGAGGATGTGCATGCCCAAAGTTTAAATGGATACAAAACAAATACACATATTCATGGAGAAAAGTCCATTAAACATAAAGCCACCCTCCGCTCTGAAGCCTGGAGCTAAGCTTAGAGATTGTACCATGGATAAATCCCCAATAATGCCCCATTTCTGTGCTCTTCCCTAGACATTGCTCACAGCCAGTGCTTAAGCGAGGACACTAGACCTCCCTGGATGGACCTTCTTGTTCCTAGCTACCTTAGAGCTGCTCTCTGGCCGTGTGTACAGCAATTAAAAGTCTTTTCTATCTGACAGGATTTAAATATAAGCAGACCATCCTGTCCTCTCCCACCCCCCAAACACAGAAATAACACACGAAATGTGCTTCTGCAGCATGTCCTTACCCCGACAGGCCTTGTGTCCTCCAGATGCCACCGAGGGCGGCCAGAACGTTCCCGCTAGCATTGCTGGATCCAGCCTGTACCACAGAAAGAGAGAGATTGGAAACTGTTGGCAGAGAGGTTTAGTTTTTTTACTGAGCTCCCTGTCCCTGGTTAGTGCTACTTTACAGCAATTACAGACATCCTAATGACCTCTTACCCCAGGCACAGGCAAAAGCTCCTTGTATCTCCAGGAATAATGCAAAGGGCAGAAAGGGAAACCAAGGCACAGAAGAACAAAACGATCACTCCAAGGTCACAGGGCTGGTTAGTTCAGAACTGGGTATCCAGTCCTTTCTGCACTACACTCAGTCCAACGGCTGACACTGGAGTAAGAATTTAATAAAAACACACTCTCAAAGCACCAACAAGAAACTTTGCTGCTCACTGCAAGAGGATTTACTTGAGATGTACTTAAAAAAAGATGAGTCGTGTATTGCATGTGAAAATTGCCTTGAGAGCAAAACAGAGGACAAACAGCATGACTACAGACAATTAAATTGCATGTGTGATCTAGTTAGTGAGAGATGACTAATATAAAGATGCTGTCTGGATGGTCTCAGAACATCCCAAAGCACCGTCATTCCCTTACCAACGCTGACCTGTTGCTCAGCACAGTGGCAGACAGAAACAAAACCCAGTTCTTACAGTTTTATCACCCCCGCTTTCCAAAGGCAAAGAAGCTGCAGCAGGTACAACACCCCACAATGAGAAATACACAACACGGCAACACGGTGAGTGCAGATGTGCCTGACTCGGCTGGGGCAGTGCACGTCATCAAGAAACATCTCCGTACCGAGGGACATGAGCAATAGGGTAAAAAAAAAAACCATCCACAGAAACTCCAGGATGCCTGACCTTTGCCAACACAACAGCTCTTTCCAGGGCAGGGAAAGGTCGAGGGCTTTTAGCTATGTGGCTGCTTAGCTCTGCCCTGGGGTCAGCAAGATGATGACGAGAACACTAGACTTACTAGCAATTTAACTACTTACTAAACTTACTGATCTTATAAGCAACCTTCCTTCTGCCCTGGTTGGCAGATGATGTCAGCCATCATGATCTTTGTGCCTTAAAATTTTAGGTCAGAAAATCCAGTGCCAAGCCCTCCTCAGAAAAGACACACACACACACACTCAAGCCCAACAATTATCAAAAAACCCAGAGGAATAAATCCGTGATGGGAAGTTTAACTTTGGGCATCCGACTCTGCAAGGATTTTCTCCTAAAGACACTGCATGAGACTCTGGAAGTCTAGCACAAACACAGGCCCTTCTCAGCTCCTTTGGGAAAGGACCAGAAGAGCAACACAAGGAAAGGAACATGACAATTTCATTAGTTCTGCATGCAGTACCTGTTCACGTCTAATCCTGCCTTTGAGGACAAAAGCAGAAATCATTATTAGTAAGTGCTGGATTTCATTCTGTAATGACCATACAGAAACTCTGGAACTACCCAAGCCATTCACCTGTGTGTCTGCTGGCCTCCTTCGCTCTTACCTTTGCCAACATAATTCTCGTCTTCGCTACATCGAGAGGTGTGGTGACTGCAGCTGCAAATCCACCTGAGCAAATTAAAATACCAAACACAAGTGAGACATTGTTGGTTGAATATGAATGCCACACTGCCTATAATTCCCATGGCTGTGGTCAACACTGCTCCATTATTAATGCCTACAGCATGTTTCCTCATGTCAGAGTCCAGGAACGTTTGTTGAAGGTCTGTACACAGAGTGTTTTATTCCTGTGTGTTGACTTAAGGAAAACAGCTCTATAGAAGTTAACTGTAAATCCAAACATCCCCATTGAGATTACTGTCCTTTTGTTTTGGACTCTGTACTTATATGAACACGTGAAGGTCGTAAGGATAATGGATTCCACTTCCAACACCTATGGACAAGTTTGAAAGGAAGAACCTGCTTACTCATTTGCAGAGATCAGAAAACAAGCTCGTCACACTGTGCTCTGCCTTGAGAATTAAAGTCTGACTATTCAAACGCTAGAAAAATAGAAAGAGAGGAAAGATGCTCCGCATCTGAAACACACATGCTTCAGGGACAAAGCTATCTACAAGATACAGACAGACTGGATCTGGACTGCAACCGTTAGACCTGGGACTCTGTTTCAAGGCAAAAAGACAAGCCAGCGTTTGGGACGGAGTTCATCTCCACCAAATGAAATCAGCTCCGTTTTGGAAAACAACAGTGTGAAGCTGCCCAAGGGTCTTTGGAGATTGTCAGAAGTCTGCTGCCACAAGTGCCATCTTCCCCTCGCAGGCATTTTTGTTCTCTCTAATCATGCCCAAACTTCACCCTTGGAGCTCATTACTTTCACTTGGAGCAGCCAGCTCAGCTGTGGCTTTCCTCCTGAAAGCCAGAAATCTTCAGCTTATCCATCTGCATGTCTCACCCACAAATATGCGTGTGCCTGTCTCCGTATTTTAACCCTGTGGCTACAGCCTGGCCTCTTGTGCTATCTAGGGACCAGCTTTGCTGCTTTTTCTCCCAGGATCTTATTCCCGTTGCCTTATTTCCCCATCCTAAAATTAACTCTAATCTCTCTCTCCCTCCTCGGTTCACAATATTTCAAGCAAGTAATTCGTGCTGAGGAAAAGCCAAAGCGAAGGAAACTTTTAAAATGCAGGAGCAGTCCAGCAGTAAGTGAAGAAAGAAAGGGGGGAAGAAAAGAGAGAGAGACTTGTTCTGAAATCTCTCCTTCTTCTTCCTCCTGTTTTTTTCTCTGGAGCTTGTATAAATCCTGTATCTGCTACAGCAGGGAACAAAGTGACTCCAGAGACTGAAGCCTACGCAGTACCAAGGGAATAAGCTAAAAATAATCTATTTTCTGTTCCAAGTTTTATGGAATGTAAAAAAATTGATCTCTCTTTTCTTGGGATGGGAGAGGGAAAAAGCATGTGCTCTAAAATCTGTAAAGTAATGAAAAAATCCATCTTCCTTACTGGCTTGTGTTTTTACCTGCATCTCTCTCTCTCAACCACCTTAGCTTTAGCATATTAAACCCCTGGTTTATGTCAGAAAGGAGATTGGGCCAGCTGGCACCTTACAGTGACTTCTTCCAGTTAATTAAGGAATGTCCCATGACAGTTCAGGAGATGCAGTAAGGCACATGTGCAGTCCCCTGGATCTCAAACAAGAATAGCAGGCAAGCTGAGTTAGCAAACAGCCCAAAATGCCTGGTTTAGGAGCAGCTTCTGCTCACGTAAGGTTGGCCCATCCGGTTCCCTCTGCCGGAAGCTTTCTAGCAGCGATACCTCACTAAAAAGCAGAAAAATGGGTTGTATTCAAGAAGCCAAAGCAGAAACTATGAGCAAGTTAAACTAAATTCCAGCTCATTCTTGGACCTTCTTTAAGGTCAAAAATCTTTTTATCGTGAGCCAGTTTTTCAGTAAGTGACCCAAAGGCTTTGAGAGAATGGTCTGGATAGAAACTTTGGTACTCATGTCAGCAATGTATTTTTAGAACAGTAAAAATAATCTCCATGGAAAATAGTGGCTTTACAAGTCTGGATGTAGAAGCCCTTCCTTTGCCCACAGACCAAGATAAAATTAAACAGTGAACCACACGGCTGTCAGGCCTGTATCAAGCAAAAAATCTCAATGCATCACTCGGCTATAGAGTTGACGGTAACACTTTAGTCAGACTAACTTAATTCCCTTATCAGATCCCAGTAATTTTTTTATGCATTTGTTCCTAACAGTTTCTTATTGGCAGAAGCTTCAATCTTGGCTGAAATAGCGATTAGAACAAACACAATTTATCCTGATACGATGTTCCCAAATTCTTATCTGAAAGGTTTAATCAAGGCTGATTGGTTTTCATTTTTTCCCCAGCTAACATCTGGATCTTTCAGACTCTTTTGTTATTAACATTTCAATGTTTCTTTTTCCATCACTGGGAGGTATTTGGTGCAGATTTACCAATCAATTTAGAATGACAACAGCAACAATAAAATGCTTCATAAGCACAACAAGCAGCAGGATAGCAGCTAAATTAAATGCAAGTTTGTATATGCTTGACAAAAACACAAGATTAAAGCTAGCGTTTGTTGGGAACTGCATTTTATTGAAGGCAGTGAGTCTGACAAAATGGATTTGCTCCAGCCTTAACCCTAAACATCCAAGGTAATTTTAGAGTGACCTCTTCAACATTAGTACATAGGTATCCAAGAACAGGCTACAGTGCTAGCGAGGGACTGCTCAGTCCCACCTACTCTAGCTGGGTAAAGGAACTTAAAACATGACTGTTTCCAATCATCAGACTAATACAACAGATACAAACTAGTACAGCCAGAGTCTACTCATTCAAAATAGGAGGGCTGTCTAATACACAGTAAGGCCCAAC